GCTGTCACTATAGTGGCACCCTGACACTGTCAAAGGTGCCACGTTTAGCCTGAGGCAGTACCGTACAATCAGTCCATGGATCACAGAGACCAGCACACCAGCAGGGTCCACTTATTCTTTACTCACCCTTACCACCTCCATTCTCCTTCTCTAACTTGTCAGAACAGGCAGCGCCAGCATCTCGTTGACCCCATGCTGCCGCCACCACGCCCCCTCTCTTTTCTTTTCAAATCTTCTCTGCTTCTGCTCCCTGCTGTTCCTCCTCGGACCACCAGATGCTCCAGAACTCTGGTTCTCTTCCACCTGTCACCTGTTTGTCCAATGCCCACACAGAACCCCCTCGGTCCCAATCCCACTTCCAGGATCACATACCCCACATGTCAGGGTTTTTTTTTTGTTTGTTTGTTTGTTTGTTTGGGGTTTTTTTAGGTTAATTTTTATGTTAATTTTGGCTTTGTTGGGAGGTTTATTACCTGGAAGTGTAAAAATTGGAATTGTCTCCAAATATGTTTAAAAAAACATCCCAATGAACAATGTGGACCGTGTACCTCATTATTAACTTTTGTTTTAAATAGAGGAGGTTGGGAAAAACAACCTTGAATGGCATAAATATGGATTACTGAACCAACTTGTTCTTCCTTTGTCCTCAACTTCCTTTCACAAACTTATTTCAATCTAAAGAATAACTCTGGGAAGAAAAAGGCACAGACTGAGCAGGATAAAGTGGAAAAAAATGCATTATATAGTGCCAACAAATAAAGGTGTGATAAATAGAAGAGATGAAAGAATAATGGAAAAACCTATTGAGACATAGATCGACGCCACCATTCACAGGTCCAGACGGATTGGAGGTGAGAATACAGGGTCAGGCTTCGACACGACTCCCTGACTCCTGATTTGGAGATTCTCATTTTCAGCTCCTGAACCGGGGGCAAGTTATTGTACCTGTGAGAAGCCTTCAGCCAGAAGAAGGGGATGTGTGGAAGAATCTGTTTCTGACAAGGTCGGAGACTGGGCAGCTTTACCTACCCCAGTTCAAAAAGTTGACGGATAATGCAAGCGTGCACGGTTGAATGTTCTGCATTTTTATTTTTTTTTAACCCATCCATTCATTTTCCGATCCGCTTTATCCTCAAAAGGGTCGCGAGGGGTTTTGGAGCCTAATCTAGCCGTCTTCGGGCAGTAGGCAGGGGACACCCTGAACCGGTTTCCAGCTAATCGCAAGGCACACAGAGACGAACAACCATCCGCGCTCACACTCACACCTAGGGACAATTTAGAGTGTTCAATCAGCCTGCCATGCATGTTTTTGGAATGTGGGAGGAAACCAGAGTACCCGGAGAAAACCCACGCAGGCCCGGGGAGAACATGCAAACGCCACAAAGGAAAGCCGGAGCGGGAATCGAACAGACGTCCTCTGGATTGTGAGGTCGACGCGCTAACCCAGGGGTGGGCAATCCCAGTCCTGGAGGGCCGCTATCCTGCATGTTTTCCATCTGTCCCTGTTGTAACACACCTGATTCAATTGTTCAGGCCTCGACAGAGCTTGCTGATGATCTGATCATTTGAATCAGGTGTGTTGGAGAAGGGACAGATGGAAAACATGCAGGATAGCGGCCCTCCAGGACTGGGATTGCCCACCCCTGCGCTAACCACTGGCTCACCGGGCCACCAATTAAAAAAAAAATATGTGCAGTATATTAATTTTGGACAGCAACTCACATCCCACCCACACACACTTTCAAATTCACACTTTCAGGGACAATGGTTACTACAGTGGACAACTAATCATGTCATCAGGTTAAAGGGTGCGTTTTTTTTTTTTTTAATGATGGAAAATGCAACACAGTCATGTTGTCGTCACCACAGAAAATTTTGTTTTCTTCCCAGTCCGACATGACACACATTTGGTCCGCCTTTCCTGATGAGTGGGAGCAGGGGTGTCATGTCACACCACACATTTGCTGTCTCTTTGCCCCGTCGCATGCACCAGCGCTCAGAGAGTTGAGCCTCTGGCTTAGCCATGCTTGGTGACTTCATTGATGAGGTTAACTTTGAAAATATGGACATATATTACATATCGGGTTTCACAGTTGCCGCTGACCATACGGTAGCGGCAAGCCGAAATGTTTGCTAGAGGAGCGTCCCATCTATGAAACATAAAACCCTTTTTAATGGGTTAATACCTTGGAATTGTTTTCTGTACACATGACTGATACCTTTCAATAATCAGATGCCTCTACTGTGGAAGCTCTCAGTGGATCTTGGACTGTGCCATAATATGTGATGACAAAAATGTCAGGAAAGTCCACTAGAACAGCTGAACTTTATTGAGCGAAAGTTTTCTGATGACTCCAATTGAATGTGACCGGGTCACTCTGGGCAGAGCAACATCCCCAGTTAAAAGTAGCCAAATTGTCACCGTTGTTTATTTTTGTTTCCTTTTGTACAGTTTATAGGACAGATTAATGGTGGGAAAAGTTTTGAAATTATTTCTCATGTTCTCACCTTGTATATCCCAAACACCTGGCATTTTAACAGGGGTGTGTAGACTTTTATATCCACCGTCGGAGAAAAGATTATGTTTTTCATGTGCTATTTTCCGATCAATGGAATTGAATTTCAATTGAAAGGAGAAATTAACCGCTTTTGTGCATTCATTTTTGGTCTTGGGATTGAATTCTGCTCAGTTGAGTGAGTTGTTTTGAACGGTGAACTTCTATTTCAGTACTCGCATTCCCTTTGAATTAGTTGCTTATTATATTGAATGTCGATCATCTGCACGCGTCCCTGTTTGGTTCCTGTCATTAAACATCGACGGTCTTCTTGTCTGGAAGGCGTCAGGGGATTTGGCTCATCTCCCGCTTCGAGCAGACCTCACTCTCTGCGAGCCATTGCTTTTGCAGAGACGCAAAGGTTCACTGAAGCAAGCAGATGACATCTTCCCACAGAGGGCCTCACATCTTCATATTTCCCCACACTCCCCAGCCGCACACTAGCTGACCTCTCCAGTCCAAGTTGTGCTCCTTGTACGCGCCACTCCCTCTACCTTCTCATGTCCTCAGAGGAAAAGAGCTGCACTGAGCAGGAGCCTGAAACCATGCTTGTATTGTCAGAGGACTTTCCAGCACTTACCTCCACTTGAACATTTAGTGCTGTCTTGTCAGCCACGGACAGAGAATAGCACTATAGGGTCACAGATGAATTGCTTTTTAGGGACAAGGTTTAAACTCACTGCTTTGTCAAGATTAGCGGGGCTGAGATTTTTCTGTTTTGACCATGCCCTCACGAAATCTCACCATCTAGAAAACATTGGAATGAGTGTCTAGGAATATGAATGAGCATATTTATTCTATAAATCACACATCCAATGTTTGTGTGGAATAATTCTAAATTGAAATAAATCTGTTTTCTGCGCTAGGAACACATATAATAGTTGTGTAGTAATCATTTATCACTTGTGTGTGAGGTAAGCCGGTATTGGGTATAAAAGGTCACTCATAACATGTCACAACGTTGCAACTCTCTTTTGACCAATAATTGGTGTGCCTGGCACCCACTGAGGAAAAAAAAACAGACCCATCGTACGTCTGTATTGAGGGTCACAAAAATAGCAAGTGTGGAGTACTTATGTATGACTCCTGAGGAACACCACTCATACAATGACCAACTTTTTTATTGTATTTTCTATAGCTTGTGCTCATTAGGTTGCAGGTGGGCTTGAGCCTATCCCAGCTGACTTGAGGCGAGACACAAGGTACCAGGGTGGACTGGTTGCCATACAATCGCAGTATTATCGCAGAAAACCTCGCAAGGGAAAAAGCTGGAGCATATTTCATTCAATCTCCATCGTTATGGCTATTTAACCCTTTCATGCACCCTGCAACCTGATAACATGATAAGCTGTCCACTGTCGTAACCGCTGTCCCCAAAAGGGTTAAATGACAAAAGTAATATTTATGATTAAGCCCTGATATGTATGAGAATTTGGATGCTTCGTGAGGAGTCTTAAACAGCTGGTGCATTCCCTGTATGTGTGCACATGTGGGTGCCTGTGATTTTTAATAATAAGGTGTTGACTCCGTCCTCTAAGGCTCACCTTTGGGGATTCCCACTGGTGTGTTTTCGGACGTGTGTGCACTACATGCACATTTTTCCGTCTGTTTGTGTGTCACTTTGGGAAAGGCAGAGCTGTGCATCGCAGTGCAACACCTGCCAGAGGCTATGGCTGTTTATGACAGAGGCTGTGTGAGCTGGAGAGGACACAGTGGAGAATTGCCAGCAGCACACACACACACACACACACACACACACACACACACACACACACACACACACACACACACACACACACACACACACACGATGCAATTCATGCATGTGCACACAAGCTACCCTATCAGTCGATGAAAATAAATACAGTGTATATCCCTATATGTATGAAATAAAATAACGCCAGCGTCTGTCCCCACTTCGTCTTGCTGGCTGCACGGGTCCCCAGCAGCTTGTATATTACAGCAGTAAGCAGGGGAGCCTGGCAGAGTCGCTGGCCTACAAAGTTCAATATAAACGAACAGTGGGATCTCTCAGGGACCTGGCAGCAAAATGCTTTGCGAAGTTAAAGCCTCACCAGCCCTTCCCCGCTGATCATACCAATGAGAACAACACACTCATTTGAGTGCACAAGGCGACACACACTCAGGAGCTATAAAAGTACACCAGCGGAGGTCACACCTTTGTTGTTGTGAGTTACATGGTAATCAACCTATAAGTGAAGAATTCTTTATTTTGTATGCACATTACAGGAGAGACCGATATCATTCACACTATTTTACAGATTGTCCAGATTTAGCGCAGTGGTGCTTTGAGATACAAATTTAATTTATTCTGTGACTACACTTGTGAGTAGAGCACTCCATATCTCAAATCAACTCTCCCCTTTGAAATAAATGGAAATGCCATTCATCCATCCCCACCCAAGAAAAACAAGCCAGCGCACATTTTTGTAACGTCTATTTTAATGAGGAAAAAAATAGCATTCTGTAATATTTCTAAAATCATACAGTAGTGACATGATGTAATAGATTGTCAAGCTTTTAAATATTTTTGGCAGACATTTTGCTTCAATCCATTGGTCATTTTGCTTGAACACCTGGGGGCAGTATAAAAACGACATTCGTGGAGACAGAAGACATGAAGCCTCCTCATCAGTAATGTGGGTCATGCTTGGCAGAGGATAAAGAATATGTTATGTATATTCTTGCAATTTCCAAGTCTTAATCATGTGTTAAAAATGTTGCAGTGCCAAAGGAAATACTGTACATACGTTCCGAAATGAACAATTCGCTATCCTTTTCACGTGCTGTGATGCGCTAGACTCCAATTCATTCTCCGCCAGTGCTCTCTCTTCGGCAGGCTGGAGATGCAATAATGAACCAACAGATGGGTTGAGGTGAAGGCAGCCGGTGGGTGGTTAGCTCGAGTTGACGTCAGGAATTAAGCACTGGGTGCCTCAGAGTGCGCAAGGACCTGTGCTCACTGGTCAGGGCTGCTTTGTAGCAGCAAGAGCGTTTTCTGTGTGTGTGTGTGTGTGTGTGTGTGTGTGTGTGTGTGTGTCACACCCACAGCAACATGCCATTTCGATTCTGTTATGGGTACACGCTTTGCATTTGTACATTTCGGCTTCTCCGGTAGCTTTTCAATGGCTTTTGCCATGCAAATTGATTTGAACTGGCCTTGTTCACTACCTGCCAAATAAGACTTGTTTAAATGGTCATCTGTCGCTTGACTGCAGAAGGTGACGGGCTTTATGTCTTTGCCCCAGGTGTCACAGGGGTCCTTTAAAACCTCGTTAGTATGTGTGTGTGTGTGTGTGTGTGTGTGTGTGTGTGTGTGTGTGTGTGTGTGTGTGTGTGTGTGTGTGTGTGTGTGTGAGAGATCATGAGACAATATGGGCCACATCACATCATACAAAGGCCTCATTATTCTCCAACACTTGTTAGCCCTCTCTTATGAATAGAACTCAATGGATCCGACCCGTGGAGGTAAAACCAACATTTACTCCGGCATATGGATAGATTCAGCCAATCAATAAAGAGCGAAAGCCCCTCTTATCTTAAATTGTTTGAAAAATAGAAAAACATTCAAATGCAAAAAAAAAAAAGATGAATAAAATATCCTTTTGTGTCAAAAAATGAAGAAGGAGATGAATCACTTTAGAGGGACATGACAGTGCCTTGAGAGCACTCATCTGGAGGGTGTAAGGCACACGACACCTGGAGGGAGAAATCAAACGCTTGTTAGGGATGGCCCTTCACGGTCTCTCACCTCCGAATTCTCCGTAGCGCCGGACTCCCCAACCCCACCCGGATGCTGGCGAATCCCTCACCCTCACCCTGTTCCTCCATCCCCCACCCCCAAAGGTCAGCCAACCCTGGCCTGTCGCCCCACTCCACCCCAAAAAAAAAAAAAAAAAACGGAGGGAGAAGTGAGCTTTTTTTTTTTTGGCCTCTTTTCCCCTCCGAGGGGGTATCTGTCTCCTTTGTTGTCTAGCCTGAGCCAAACTGTCACCCTCGAGCTCACTTTACATATTTTGGTCCAAAGCTGAAGTGAGCTCTGAGTAATTGTGTGAACAAGAGCCAAATATTCTTGTTAGCAAAGCGCTAACCGTGGGGGGGCGGGGGGGGGGGAACTTTATACAATACATCTGAATAATTTAATGATATCAGATGCACGAGCTGTATTATTACTTTTGATTGACACTGTCAGGAAGTCAATAATGAGTGATACAAAAAAAAAAAATCGACAACCACAATACTAAGCATATTGTTGCATGAATGCAGCGGGCATTGCCAATTAATAGTGAGCAGAAATGAATTTGTACAATTGGATTTGAGCTCTTTTAAATGTGTGCCTAATAAGATATCCAGTGAGTTGAAAACAACCACGTCTTTGCAGCCACGGTAATACCTTGTCACCACAAGTGTTTGGCTTCACCTCTTCTCAACCATGTCGACAGGCCACATCTCATCTTTTGGGAAGCCGGCTGCAGCCCTATGGCCTCCTCCTGCTGACGTCGCTCCTTCTGGCCTGTCTCAAGCAGCTACCGTCTTAGCCCCTTTTTGGCCTGGAGCCGACACAGCGGTATACGCTAACCCTCCCCGATTCCGGTGGTGTAAAAATGGCGTGACACTGAGTCGACGCCGCTTGCATGTGAGATGTAAACAAAGTTAAGCATGAGAATAAAAATAAATAAATAAATTTTTAAAAAAAACAACCAACATCCCTTGTGCCCGACCTTCAAGCCTGCAGCATCACTCACAAGCGCTTACAATATCCACCCCTGACAAAACATGATGCCGCAATCTTTCACACCTTACATTTATTCGTCTTTTGCCGTTTTCGTATGACGCTTGCGTTTGCACCAAGCGCCAATTATCATGACAGTGTGACCCCCAACCTTTTCCAAAACTATCCCCTGCACTTCCTCCGTTCCTTGTCTCCTTCTC